GGCTGGTATGAGTTCAAGGACTCCCTCCAGGAGCATGACAGGAAGGAGTTTAAAGCACTGGTGGAGGAGGCTACAGCGGCTGCCAGGGCTACCCTGCAGGCATGGGTCAGACATGGCCGTGCGGTCCATGGCCTCCGTGGTGTTCATGAGAAGGGTGTCGTGGCTCCTGTTCTCTGGGCTGTCCAGTGAGGTGCAGACCTCCCTGCAGGACCTTCCATTTGATGGCAAAGCTCTGTTTAACAAACGGTTATAAAACTGCATGGCCTGAAAAACTCTCACATCACACTTCAGACTCTGGGACTCTATGTTCCGGCTCCGGCTAAACCTAAATTTAAGTCGCAGCAGGCTCCCGCCCAGACTACCCACTCTAAATATGAGCCCCCTTATAAAAATTAGTGGGACAATAAGAAGCACCCACAGAGGCAGGCTCAGCCTGCCCCCAAGCCTGGTCCTCCCTGGGCAAACAGGTAGGGAAATGGCGGTTTTGACGGGATGCCCAGGGGCGCCCTATCAGTTCTCATCAGGGATCCACCCACAATAAAGCTTCCCTTGTCCTACCGGTTGTGTGCTTTCCTTCCGGAATGGTCGTGGCTGACCTTGGACCAATGGGTCCTCAACACCATCTCCCGGGGTTACACCCTCCAGTTTACCTCCACCCCGCCCAACCACCCTCTGCCCCCGTCCCTCCTGGGGGACCCCTCTCACGAGGCTCTGCTCGAGCAGGAGGTGGGGCGGCTCCTTGGCCTAGGAGAAGTGGAATCGGGGAGCTCAAAGGCAAGGGGAGCTCCTCCCGCTATTTCCTTACCCTGCAGGCCAAAGGGGGGCTCAGGCCCATCCTGGACCTGCGAGGCATGAACCAGTACATGGTAAAGTTCAAATTCCGCATGGTCTCCCTGGCCTCCATCATCCCCGCCCTGAATCCCGGGGACTGGTCCGCTGCCTTCGATCTGCAGGACACGTACTTCCACATTCATATATTTGAGGGGCACAGATGCTTCCTCCGTTTCACAGTTGAGCGTGAATACTGCCAGTTTACAGTCCTCCCTTTTGGCCTGTTCACTGCCCCCAGGGTGTTTACAAAGTGTATGTCAGTGGTGACAGCCTACCTCAGGCGCCGTGGGGTCCAGATCTTCCCCTATCTGGATGATTGGCTGGTCAAGGGCAGCTCGCGGTCGCAGGTGCGATATCATGTGGTGCTCCTTCTGTCCACGTGCGCCACTCTGGGCCTGTTGGTAAACAACACTAAGTCCACCTTAGTCCCGGTGCAACACATAGAGTTTATCAGGGCGGTCCTGGCTGCCATGCTGGCCAGAGCCTCTCTCCCACCAGACAGGTTTGAGACCCTGAAAGGGCTCAACGACATGATCACAAGGTTTCCAGTGACAACAGCCATAGCTAACATGCTAACCCACAGAGACCTTCCTACCAAGACTACAAAAAGAGGGATTCTGGGTGAACTCCTCCTGAAGGTCAAAACAACAGACTGGATTTCTACATAGAATGCTTCCACCGACGTCCACGGGCTGAAATTGTGGAAAAGCAACATCACTTGCCCCATAACCTCAGCCCTGCAGAACACAATGCCATCCACAGCCTCAGAAACAACTCTGATGACATAATGAAAAAGGCTGACAAAGGAGGTGCTGTCGTCATCATGAATAGGTCAGAATATGAACAAGAGGCTGCTCGGCAGCTCTCCAAAACCACTTTCTACAAGCCATTACCGTCTGATCCCACTGAGGGTTCCCAAAAGAAACTACAGCATTTGCTCAAGAAACTCCCTGAAAAAGCACAAGAACAAATCCGCACAGACTCACCCCTGGAACTCCGACCTGGGGTATTCTATCTGCTACCCAAGATCCATAAACCTGGAAATCCTGGACGCCCCATCATCTCAGGCATTGGCACCCTGACAGCAGGATTGTCCGGCTATGTAGACTCCCTCCTCAGGCCCTATGCTACCAGCACTTCCAGCTATCTTCGAGACACCACTGACTTCCTGAGGAAACTACAATCCATTGGTGATCTTCCTGAAAACACCATCCTAGCCACTGTGGATGTAGAAGTCCTCTACACCAACATTCCACACAAAGATGGACTACAAGCCGTCAGGAACACTATCCCCATAATGTCACGGCCAACCTGGTGGCTGAACTTTGTGACTTTGTCCTTACCCATAACTATTCCACATTTGGGGACAATGTATATCTTCAAGTCAGCGGCACTGCTATGGGTACCCGCATGGCCCCACAGTATGCCAACATTTTTATGGCTGACTTAGAACAACGCTTCCTCAGCTCTCGTCTCCTAATGCCCCAACTCTACTTGCACTAAATTGATGATATCTTCATCATCTGGACCCATGGAAAAGAAGTCCTTGAGGAATTCCACCATGATTTCAACAATTTCCATCCCACCATCAACCTCAGCCTGGACCAGTCCACACAAGAGATCCACTTCCTGGACACTACAGTGCTAATAAGCAATGGTCACATAAACACCACCCTATACCGGAAACCTACTGACCATTATTCCTACCTACATGCCTCCAGCTTTCATTCAGACCACACCACACGATCCATTGTCTACAGCCAACCTCTACAATACAACCGCATTTGCTCCAACCCCTCAGACCGAAACAAACACCTACAAGATCTCTATCAAGCATTCTTACAACTACAATACCCACCTGCGGAAGTGAAGAAACAGATTGACAAAGCCAGAAGTGTACCCAGAAGTCACCTACTACAGGACAGGCCAAACAAAGAAAATAACAGAACACCACTAGCCATCACCTTCAGCCCCTAACTAAAACCTCTCCAACGCATCATGAAGGATCTACAACCTATCCTGAAGGACGACCCATCACTCTCCCAGATCTTGGGAGACAGGCCAGTCCTTGCTTACAGACAGCCCCCCAACCTGAAGCAAATACTCATCAGCAACCACATATCACACAACAGAACCACTAACCCAGGAACCTATCCTTGCAACAAAGCCCCTTGCCAACTGTGTCCACATATCTATTCAGGGGACACCATCATAGGGCCTAATCACATCAGCCACATTATCAGAGGCTCGTTCACCTGCACATCTACCAATGTGATATATGTCATCATGTGCCAGCAATGCCCTCTGCCAGGTACATTGGCCAAACTGGACAGTCTCTACATAAAAGAATAAATGGACACAAATCAGACGTCAAGAATTATAACATTCAAAAACCAGTCAGAGAACACTTCAATCTCTTTGGTCACTCGATTACAGACCTAAAAGTGGCAATTCTTCAACAAAAAAAACTTCAAAAACAGACTCCAAGGAGAGACTGCTTAATTAATTTGCAAACTGGACACCATTAACTTATGCTTGAATAGAGACTGGGAGTGGATGGGTCATTACACATTGCTGGCACATGATGGAATATATCAGAGCTGTTCATCGCCTTGGCCGAGCGCATGAAAGGTCAGCCGATCTCCACTCAGTGGCTCTCAAACTGGATCACCTCATGCATCCATACCTGCTATGACCTGGCGGAAATCCCCCACTGTCAATTGTGAGGGCGCACTCGACTAGGGCTCAGGCCTCGTCAGCTGCCTTTTTGGCCCATGTCCCCATTCAGGACATTTGTAGGGCCGCCACGTGGTCTTCAGTTCACATGTTTACCTTGCATTATGCGATCGTCTCCCAGACCAGGGAGGATGCCGGGTTCGGCAGAGCTGTGCTCCGTCCTGAAAGTCTGTGAACTCCTACCCACCTCCAACAGCTATAGCTTGGAATCGCCTACTGTGGAATACACATGAGCACTCACTCGAAGAAGAAAAAACAGTTACCTTTCCCGTAACTGGTGTTCTTCGAGATGTGTTGCTCATGTCTATTCCGCATCCCGCCCTCCTTCCCCTCTGTCTGAGTTGTCTGGCAAGAAGGAACTGAGGGCGGGGGGAGCGCACATCGCCCCTTGTACCGCACCATGGCGGCGCCACTCCAGGGGTCGCGGAGGGTACTCCCCTATGGGAAAAGCTTCTGACACTGGTGCACGTGGCGAGCACGCACACCTATAGTGTCTTTTATTCAAGCATGGAATTACTATACATAGTTATCCTGGATCTTGAACTTTTTCTCCTCCCTGCATTTCTCTTTCCTGTGAGTTGCCCAGCACCCAGAGTCCCTCCTTCAGCATCTTCCTAAATTCCTACTCTTTAAACTGTCAGGGTCCTGAATGTCATGACCAGACCACTCTGTCCCCTCAGGAAGTGGGAAATGTCCCTCCATCCCATCACCATCACTAATCTGTCCATTTCTAAATTCATGCAAAATTTTCCTTCTTTCTTTCAAAGCTCTTCATGGACTGATATTCTCCCAACCTCTGACCGATATCAGTTTCTCTCCTCAGTTGGTCATTCTGCCTCGACCTCTTCTGTGTCCTCTTGCATTTCTGCTGCTTCATCCGTATATCAAGGAAGGCAACTATGCAGCCAGTGATCATGTGGGTGCAAGAAGCTTTGGTGGTGCAATAATACTGCCCATGACGGATCCAATCTGAATATACAGCCAGGCCACTTTAAGGACCTAGCCAGAGATTATTCTGGCTGGTGCTTGATCTGCAAGGAGGACATGTCCCTTTGGTATTTGCCATGATGAGGATGATCCCACAGGCCTTTCTTTTAATTATCAACATTTGTGTTGGTTTCTGAAAGAAAATTGTTAGAATAACTAGGGATTATAAGAGATAGTTATACCCAGGTACCATACATCACTATGACAAGTATAATTAGTATAGCATTATTCTGAGCTAAGTCATTCTCCCTGCAAAGCATTCATGAATGTCTGTGCTGGAAGCTGTATGAAAAGGAATCCTGTTGTATTGTCCCATGCTGTGCTTGTGTGGTCTGTCCTGATCCTTGGAAATACATTTCCCTGCTTCCAGTGGCCAGCTCCAGACAGGTAAGTGCTGTAGAAGAGAGGAGTGATGGGTAATGATGATGTGGCTTTGTTCCCAATAGCGGATGTTGCAAGGTCCATGGGGGCAAAAGTGGTGATAGCAATTGATGTGGGCAGCCGGGATGAGATGGACCTCACCAACTATGGCGACACTCTGTCTGGCTGGTGGCTGCTGTGGAAGAGATGGAATCCCCTTGTTGAAAAAGTGAAGGTACCGTAAGCTTATGTTAAAATCACAGTGATTTTCAGTAAGCAGAAGGGAACTGTCCCACTGTGTATCCGAGAAACAAGACTGGGAATCGATTGCTCTGTCACCTGCATCTTGTGTTGCAAGATGACATTTGAGGTGTGGGAAAGCTGGGCAAGGTCCCAGCATAAAAGAAAATACAATGTTATGGGAGAATTCAGTTGTTCGAATCTGGGGAGGAACTAGGAGTGGCACTTATATAGCCAATCATTTTTTCCTCTAAGGAGTCCAACTCCAGCTCTCCACACAAGAGCAAACTCTGCTGGGTGCTGAGTGGGGGACTACAGAATTACAAGATTATTATTATTCCATATTTGTATTATGGTGGCACCTAGGAACCCTGGAAATGGACCAGGACCTCATTGTGCTAGGTGCTGTACAAGCACAGAACAAAAATGAATACCTCTTCTCCCAAAATGCTCCTTGAATATAGACAAGAGCAGTTGACCTGGCTTTGATAGAGCTGAAAGAGCCCCTCTCCAATTGGAGTGAATTTGGCACAATTAATCTTGATGCAGTTAGAATTTGGCTGCTTTCCAAGTGAAAGTGAGTGGAGCTTTGTCCACTTCTCTGTGTTTCTTAGCAGCTGAATATAGGGATTTTTGCATTGGGCAGTAATAATAAATTCTTAGATGTTTGTTTTCATGACAGGCTGCATGAGCTAAGGATTTCCTTCCTGGGTGAAGTCAGTTCAGACCGGATTAACGTTTCATTTCCTCCATTTTCCTTCTGGTTCCCTGTGTCCCTGCTGTAATCCTTAGGGTCTCTCTCTTTAGCAGTCCCCTCCTCAAAAAGGCCTGGTCTGAGGACTGGACAGGATTCCTTTTCAGAGCTCAGTACTACTGGACTCCTCCAGTGGGTGTCTGTTGTGAGTGATGCAGGGTGGGGTTGAACATGCTGCTTCCATAGCACACTGGGCTGTTCTCTGTCCCAAGGAATGAGAGGCTATGACAGCGAATCAAACCCAGCTCTTACCTAAAGCGGTGTCTGGCACTAGAAAATCAAGCTGGCTTGTTACTCATCCCCACCCTGAGAGAGCTTAGCACCCCTCCTACATCACCCTATATATCTCCTTCTAGGTACCAGTATTTCCTGGAATTAACGACCAAGTTCGGCTTGAACTGCAGAAACATCATTTGTTAGATGGAAGCTGAGTCTCTGCCACTGATGACAGATTGGCTGGCGGTCAGCAGTGTGCTCCTGGGAGGCTGAGGGATGTGGGATGTGACAACCTCTGCAGATACCCCTGAGTCACTGGAGTGCATTTCTCCCTTTTACCGTTGCCAGTTCAGGGCAAGTTGTGCTAATGAAAGTCTTGCAATGCATTTAATGGCTGTCTGGGGCTGATTGGCAGGTGCTGAACATGGCAGAGATCCAGACCCGGCTTGCGTATGTGTGCTGCGTGCGGCAGCTGGAGATGGTCAAGAACAGTGAATATTGCGAGTACATTCGGCCGCCCATCGACAGATATGGCACCCTTGACTTTGGGAAGTTTGATGAAATCTGTGTAAGTGAATCTGGAGGGTGTAGGGGGCTCCGATGTAGCTACTTCTGTGCAGCAACAGAGTCCTGTGAACACCGCAGCAATACAAACCTAGTGCTAGGGGCAAGTTCTAGGCTCTCTTTCTTGAGGAAGCTGTTCTCAAGTGTTCGATTTCTTACTTCTTAGCTCTCTGTAGGCTATGTACGTGTGAGAGCTGAGCAAAGAAGTCACACTGAATAATACCATGGAAAGACATGGTGTATGGTGAGGGACTCAGGATAAGAACCTGAATAGAATCATTCACCCTGTTCATGTCATGTCCCTGAGCAGACTGCAACTCCTCTCCTTTTTTTTGCCAGTAACTTTACTCTGGGGGTCAGGCATGGACTGTTCGCTGTAGGTATTTGAAATCAGAGTTGTTTTGTTTAGTTATAAGTGGCACATAAGTCACATGGCATTGTTTCTTTTCCCTGATTGGGTGAGAATAGCTCATAAAGTCAGGGGGAGGGTTTGAATAAGCCAGAAGGGCTGTGAATTGTCCAGGCAAAGGGAGCAGAATAGTAGAATGTCTGTGGCACAGTTACAGTTCCGATGCTTCTATTACTATCATAGACCATCTGCACTTCCTTTGCACCTGATATAGGATCAGCAGACCACCACCAGTGTCCATGGAAGGACTGTTAATGAAGGGATAGTATCAGGTTCACAGGTCTTTGGGGTTCAGGTTTGTCTGTCTGTGTATGTCATAAATCAGCATGCAAAGTACTGACACCAGATGTGCAACTGATGTTTTTCAGAGAAAAATAATTCAGCAATTTAAAAAGAATAGAATAAGGTTTCTTTCCTTTCCAGTGGACTGTTGTTTAGTAGCTTATGCTCATTGTCACTGTTGTAGAGCTATCCTATTGTTCTCCACCTGCTGCTGGCTAACGGAATAGATGTTTGCTTACATGCGTGTTTACCCTCATCCATTCCCTTAGTTCATAACAAGTAGTTATTTGTTCCACTGCCCTAGTTGTGCTGGGAAGGATGGAAGCTTAGAGCTGAGCGTCGTCAGCAAACTGGATTCCTACGTGTGCGACACGTTTCCTCAGTAACTCTCCTAACACCCTCTCACACATTCCACAAGAGACATGAAATCAGCCCTGCAGAGCTCCACGTGAGAGTCCTCTGGGCAGAAGACCAATTGCCCCGGACCATTCTTTCCGACCTCCCAGAGGGGTCTGAACACTCAGCAGCACCCTGTGTCTTCAGCTGTCCCAATCATACCTCATGGCCTGTGGTGTCAGCATGGACCCTTCTTTCTTGTTCATTGCTAGGAGAAAATCCTCACCCTGTGCAACCAGTGCAGTTCCTGCTCAAACACCTGACTGACCAGAATGTAGGAAATCTGAGGAGAGTTGAACTTCCCACACCATCTCCTGGATGGGTTGCGAGCTGTTGAGACTGTCAGTGTCAAGTGATGCTTTATTAACCAGGGGCTACATGATAGCTTTTTCAGTCAGGCATCCTGCTACCTATGGGAGCACTTACATGAGAGGAAAGTGATCAGGAACAGTCAGCATGGATTCACCAAGGGAAGGTCATGCCTGACTAATCTAATCAACTTCTATGATGAGATTACTGGTTCTGTGGATGAAGGGAAAGCAGTGGATGTATTGTTTCTTGACTTTAGCAAAGCTTTTGGCACGGTCTCCCACAGTATTCTTGTCAGCAAGTTAAAGAAGTACGAGCTGGATGAATGCACTATAAGGTGGGTAGAAAGTTGGTGGGTAGAAAGTTGTCAGGCTCAACGGGTAGTGATCAATGGCTCCATGTCTAGTTGGCACCTGGTGTCAAGTGGAGTGCCCCAGGGGTCGGTCCTGGGGCCGGTTTTGTTCAGTATCTTCATAAATGATCTGGAGGATGGTGTGGATTGTACTCTCAGCAAATTTGCGGATGATACTAAACTGGGAGGAGTGGTAGATACACTGGAGGGCAGGGATAGGATACAGAAGGACCTAGACAAATTGGAGGATTGGGCCAAAAGAAATCTGATGAGGTTCAATAAGGATAAGTGCAGGGTCCTGCACTTAGGACGGAAGAACCCAATGCACAGCTACAGACTAGGGACCGAATGGCTAGGCAGCAGTTCTGCAGAAAAGGACCTGGGGTGACAGTGGATGAGAAGCTGGATATGAGTCAACAATGTGCCCTTGTTGCCAAGAAGGCCAATGGCATTTTGGGATGTATAAGTAAGGGCATTGCCAGCAGATCGAGGGATGTGATCGTCCCCCTCTATTCAACATTGGTGAGGCCTCATCTGGAGTACTGTGTCCAGTTTTGGGCCCCACGCTACAAGAAGGATGTGGATAAATTGGAAAGAGTCCAGCGAAGGGCAACAAAAATGATTAGGGGTCTGGAACACATGACTTATGAGGAGAGGCTGAGGGAACCGGGATTGTTTAGTCTGCAGAAGAGAAGAGTGAGGGGGGATGTGATAGCTGCTTTCAACTACCTGAGAGGTAGTTCCAGAGAGGATGGTTCTAGACTATTCTCAGTGGTAGAAGAGGAGAGGACAAGGAGTAATGGTCTCAAGTTGCAGTGGGGGAGGTTTAGGTTGGATATTAGGAAAAACTTTTCCACTAGGAGGGTGATGAAACACTGGAATGCGTTGCCTAGGGAGGTGGTGGAATCTCCTTCCTTAGAAGTTTTTAAGGTCGGGCTTGACAAAGCCCTGGCTGGGATGATTTAATTGGGGATGGGTCCTGCTTTTGAGCAGGGGGTTGGACTAGATGACCTCCTGAGGTCCCTTCCAACCCTGATATTCTATGATTCTATGGGCAGATTCTGATAATCTCCACCAGCAACGGACCCAACACTTGCCCTGGTGCTTCACCAGTCAGGATGGGCATGGATCCAACTCACAAACTGTGGGATCAGGGGGATGGGGAAGGGATTCCAGCCCCATCCAGAGCCTCAGTGAATGAGACTGGCCGACACTAAAAGATGAACAAGCATTGACCCCTCAAACCATTGTTCTCTGTCTGTGGAAGCAGATAGTTCAGGGCCAAGTGAGTGATTTGAAGCCACAAAGTAACTTTATATTCTTTGCAACAAGAGAAGCTTGACAGTAGATGATTGGGGTCCATGCAGATATACCAAGCTGTCATCCTGCTTTAACAGATCTGATGGAGACACATTTCTTGACTTCCTCCACTGGCATACCAGCCAAACACCCTATGACTTCACCTGTCGCAGGGTCTCTGTAAACCATGGTGACCCGAGTGGGCATTCATGGGCTACTGTGTCAAAGGTTTTTATTTACCTATTTATTTAGATTTATACCAAAATAAAAAAGGGGTATCTATCCAACACTCCAGACACCTCTGCCAAACAAATATGAAGTGAGCTGTAGCTCACAAAAGCTTATGCTCAAATAAATTTGTTAGTCTCTAAAGTGCCACAAGTCCTCCTTTTCTTTTGCGAATACAGACTAACACGGCTGCTGCTCTGAAACCAATTAAATTTAACAGTCACTGAGCATACAATTCCCTGCTGATTCCCCTCAAAAATCCACCTGTGCAGCACCCCATGCATCTAGAAAGCCCTTGCCATATGTCCTGAAGGTCACCTGATCCAGGCTATTTGTGGCCATTCTAAACAAACACAGAATATAGGTCATGTTGATAGGCTGGGGAAGCAATGACTTTGAACAAGAGTTGTGGGTCATGGTGGATAATCAGCCAAACATGAGCTCCCAGTGTGACGCTGTGTCCAAAAGGACTAATGGGATTTTTGGGTGCATAAACGGGGGAATCTTGAGCAGGAGTAGAGAAATTATTTTATCTCTATATTTTGCACTGGTGTGACTGCTGCTGGAATACTGTGACTAGTTCTGGTGTCCACAGTGAGAGGGTTCAGAGAGTAGCCACGTGAATGATTAAAGGATTAGACTCGAGGAGCTCAATCTATTTACCTTAGCAAAAAGAAGGTTAAGGCGTGACTTGGTTACAGTCTACAGGTACCTATTTGGGGAGCAAAAATTTGATAATTGGCACTTCAGCCTAGTAGAGAAAGGTCTTAACGTGATAGTATGGCTGGAAGTTGAAGCTAGACAAATTCAGAGAGGAAATAACCTGTAAATTTTTGACAATATGGGTTTTCAATCACTGGAACCATTACCAACAGTCATGGTGGATTCTCCATCACTGACAAGTCAAGATTAGATGTTTTTCTAAAATATCTGCTCTAGGAATTATCATGGAGCAGTTCTCTCGTCTGTCCTATACAAGAGATCAGACCAAATGATCACAATGGTCCCTTCTGGCCTTGGAATCTATGAAACCATTGACAGAATGCTCTGAAGGCTGAACAGTATTTTCCCTCTGGCCTGTCGGTGATCTCCCAGGCTCCATTCACCTCCAAGGACAGCCCCTCTAAACAGGCCTTTCTTCCCCGTCAAGATGTGTCCCGATCCTAGACCACAAGAGTCAGTGGTCTGTCCGGGAGTTCCACTCCCCCGCGACCTCCAGTGCCATTCCAGACACAAGATCCAGAGTGTGACCTACAAAGCTAGGAACCACTTGGGGCAGATTATGGTCACTATGAAACCTTGAGCTGTTCCTGACACTTATTCTGTCTGTCAGTGATAGACCTGGGAATAGAACCCTGGAGTCCTAACAACCACTGCTGTAAGCACTAGAATTCAATTCTTCCCAGAGCCTTTTCTGCTGCTTTGTAGGAAAAAGAATAAGGGCATATCTTCACTAGCAACGTTGAAGCATTGCTGCGACAGCACTTTAACGTGGCTGTGTAGTCGCAGCACCAGGGCTGGGAGAGTAAAAAAACACCCCCACGAGGAAAGTAGCTACCAGCGCTGGTTTTTTCACACTCCTGAGCGAGAAAGTTGCAGTGCTGTAAAGTGGCAGTGTAGACAAGGCCTAAGACTGGAGTTATTTTTAATTGTTTTCATGCTGACAATATGGGTGCCAAGTTGTCATTCCCAGTGCAAATTAGAGTTCTAAAGGGCTGGAAAATGGAGTATATGCATTCAAACTCCCCCAGGCACTTGAGCAGTAGTTACTCATATCACCTCTAACAGAACCTGAAATTTGCATGTAAAAGCAAGAGCCCCTACGTGCTGGTTGGCTTGTGTGTATTCATGATTCACATGTACAGGTCATTTGGCAGCAGTGCCGATAGTAATTTCTGTGTCAGATCTGGCCCAGCAGGGAGGAGGCCCATATTAATTAGCTTTGCTGTTGTCTTTTCCCATACAGAGATTTGTACAAGAAGGCCTTGGGATACAAATAAATCCTTTGCTCATGTTTCGTTGGTGTCTCCTTATATGCAGCACTGTCTGATGTGCACAAAGCTGTCTCCAGAAAGATGATTGTAAGAAGTGGCATGTTCCATAACGTACATTAGAGCCAAAGGTCATGTGAGCTTCCTGATGTAAAATAGCACCTTGCTCCAGTTAATGGCTTCCCATTTCATAGGCTGAATGTTCAGAGTAACTCTGAGCTGAAGCAGTAGATACTGCATTCTAAATCCCAGGCCCAGAGTCTGGCGCTGTGCTTAGCACTCTGGTTTTAGAGCAGGTGGCGTGGAGCATGGTGTTTGTCCAGTTGATGATGATGATGATGATGAGTGTTTATTTCTGATTGTCTCTTTCCAGGAAGTGGGATATCAGCATGGGAAGACAGTATTTAATGTCTGGGGCAGGAGCGGAGTCCTTGACAAGATGTTAAAAGACAGGCAGGAGATCTGCAAATCCAAAACATCAGGTGTAAGTGTTCAGTTTAAAAGTACTCTTCTCATTACATGATGCCACCCAGCAGCCAGCACACAGCTGAGCAGAGCTCTCTGACCAAGGCTTTGCTGTATAATGTGTTAAAGGCGATCAAAGCGGGAAGGGTTTCTCATGGACTCTTACTGGGAATATAGGCACATTCATTAAAAATGCATTGCAGTAAAGTTAGTTATTCTCTAATTTTTAGCATCAGGAGTTATTTTTATCATGTTCATGCAATACTCAGTGCCCAGGCATCCTTCCTGCTCGCTGATGATGGTTTGCTAGGCCTGGGACTCTTCTCTGATCAGCTGCATAGTACTCAGCACCAGGCAGCTGAGCAGGCACTGTTGGCATGTTAAAAATCTCACTGTCTGTCATATCCACTGCTCGGTAGTCATGAATGTAGCATTAAGTGGCTTTCAACCACTGTCAGAAATCTTGCATTATGCCCTTACTGTGTTCAGTCCAGTACCAAAATGCCTGCACAGCGTATTTCAGGAAAGGAATTTCATACAGCAGCCGTCCAAGACCCTGTGAAGGCTTGAGACATTGCCATCGGTGGTAGTTAAAGGACAAGTTTTACTTGTACCACCTTCTCTACTCATGCTATCTGCTTCAGCACATCTGAGTAGCCAATGTTTAGGTTGCAGAATTGAGCTGGTCCTGACAAACCTAAGGGTTACTTAGTGTGGCTGAGTCGTTATAACCATACTGAGATTTCCACGTAGAGCAGGAGACAGGACTTTTTATGGCTCATTGGGGAAGGGAATCCCTGTGCTCCAAGACAGGACTTTCTTTTCTTTCTGAGCTTTCTCTCCCCCTCCACCCCCCCCCCCATGCTATAAAAACTCCAGGGCCCAGCAGGCATAGGGGGGCCTCAGGGAAGGGACCTTGGGCATAGGCATAGTTTGACTTCTATTTGGGGGGAGGGCAAGGGCCAGCAGGGCTCGAGCCAGCTCCACATGATGGGGTTCAGGGAGGGAGCGCCACCTTCACCCCCTGACTCACCTCAGCAGGCCACCCATCTGTCTGAGTTATGGGAGGGACCGCAACCAAAAATTATAACTCAAAGGTGGGGGACTCAGCTCAAAAAGTTTGAAAATAGCTCAGGGTGCAGAGAGGGAGTAGCTAGGGACTGTGTGCAGGCAAGGGAGTATCTCAGGATGCAGGGAGAGGGTAGTTCAGGGTGGAGGGAGGGGTAACTAGGGGCTGTATATGGGCAGGGGGTTAGCTCAAGGTGCAGGGAGGGAGTAGCTAGGGTCTGTGTGCAGGCAGGGGGGTTGCTAAGAGCCCTGAGGTTACAAAAATGATGGATTGATGGGAATGGCTAACAGCTGATTGGACACATGCCTGCATTTTTGGTTCCTTAGTGAGGACTACCTGCTTGGGGTGTATGCTCCAGGGTTCTTTGGTTCTGCCTTATCAAGGTCCAGTGTTCAAAGGGGTTAGCAAGGATTTCAGTGTAGCTCGCCACAATGCTAAAACTTCTGAAATTAAATCAAGAAAACCAAAGCTGGGTTTGACATCTAACTTCTCTTTTAGCAGCCTCTTCTGTGTCTGAAGGAACTGGTTTGCTGCTATAGGTTCCAGGGTCCTTTTTAATCACCTGCTTTTTGAAAGTTCTTTGCTAACTTCAAGCAATATTTTACTTTCCTATTAGGCCTTTCTTTAACAGAGGTGCCAGTGCTGTGTATGTGTGTCTATCTTCAGCCACCTCTGGGCTGGAACACAGCAGCTGTTTAACAGCATATAGCAACACTACACAACGGAAGAAAACAAGGTACAAAATCCAGAGCGCAGAATGTCTGGCAGTAATACCCCAATTTGGGATGCGGCCAAGATACCAGATACAAGATACCTCTACTCTGGAGAGAAATACTGTGTGTGCTATGGGGTCTTTAAGGACAGCAGGCGTTCCTCAGTTTCACAGCTCATTGGAACCTCAGCACTATGCCCCCGAATACCAGGTTTGGAGGGAAGAGTGCTACAACAATCCAGTTGTACAATAGTGTGCAGACAGCGGGATGAGAAAATAAATCTCTCATTCTTATTGCTGGCCCAAACTAAAATCCACTCCCTATCCACATGTTCTGGGGAGGCAGCACAAGATACAAAGGGTCCTGTGCCTGGGGATAGCAGGAGCAAACCAAGGGCCCAATCCAGCAAAGTGCTGCGTGCCTTCAACTCCCTTGTACCCAGGGTTGGACTTTCCTCCTCCCTATTTCCAGTATTTCAAGGTTGAATTTATACTATGAACGGTGCCCAGATCTCTAGGATTCTCCTCAATACACCCTTACTCTCGCACTCTCTCTCTTAAGGCTGAAATGCTGACGACAGAAACAAGTGAAGCCTGATAGAAACAGAGTTCACTTGACCAGCTCCACTTATCCCCATAGCAGAGAACAATCCAATATTTCCCACTGGCTCTCTTCAGGGATCCCATCTACGTGAAGATTGTGGTCTTGATGAAAGATTAATACAGTGTAACAGACTCTTTAGTTGTATCTTCATTCCTTTACTAATGGGTGTATCAAGCAGAGAATATTTTTTTCGCTCCTGGATTTAAAAACCCAGGATTTTTCAGAAGATATCTAATAAGTAAGAGACAGCCCCTCCCCCCATGTAACTGAGACAGGAACATGTTTTTTGTGGATGATGTTTAAGTGTTTTCTCTCTCTTCTTTACATTGTTCCTTTTGGGTAAGAATTAAGCCAGGACGGGGAAGCACTGAAACGATCCTGGAGGGGATGGCATGCCAGCCTCCTGGAATGTGTGCCCGGGCTCCAGGGCACAATGCCTGTGCAAGCACCCCTCCAGTTGGGTTATGCACGGAAGCTTCCACGTGGTATAAACTAGCAGATGCCCCTGAGGGAAGCGCTTACAGTTCTGGTAGTGTCCTTGTGATTCCTGGCATCCTTCAAGTCTTTGTCCTTTCCTTGTGCCTATGCCAACTTATGCTAGTTTCCCTGCAGCATCTTTTGGGATAGGCCCTGCATGGTTTTTATCTATGACTCAAGCTGTTCTCTCTGTTCCTACTCAGTCTCCTGTGAGGTCAGTTCTGGTTCCATTTATCTCAGGAGTACCCAGCAGCACGTGTCCTCATCAACACTTGCCACAAACGAGTGCAGGTGGTCTTTATTAATTGCATTTTTGTTTGAGGAAAGGAGAGAGGACTCCCCAAACACAACAGAGTACCCGCCGCTGGGAAAGGGCTGTGGATTCAACAGCACAACTGCAATGTCCTCATCTCTTTCACAGCTGGAAGCATCTGTGTGTCCTTCACTCAGTGTCCCACATCAGGAATCCACAGCGTGTCTGTGTTCCTCTCCTGTTCTGGGAAGTGATTCTCTGGAAGAGCCATACCTCCATCTGTCAAAGGCTTCCCACTAGGGTCCCTGACTTCTTGTGCCCAAAACCAGGACTGAATGACTCGTCCTTCTCTTCAGCTGTGTAACTTCCTTTTGAGCCCTCTTCCCTTCTTCTACACTGAAACCTGCCTCTTGAGTCCCTGATGTTTCATTTCACTTAATTTCTTAATTCCTACCTGTCCAGAATTCCATCTGTCCATTGTGTCCCCAATTGCCCTGGGGAGCTGTTAGTTCAGGATCCTCACTGTGCCTTAGTCATACCAGTATTACATACTGTCTGAGTTAGAAATTCAGTGTCCAGAGAGATCCATCTGTCACAGCCCTCTTGGGAGAGGGGTGACTCAGAGGACTCTCCAGAAGGGCAAAGCCATGGAGTTATGGAACCCCATCAAAAATGTCATAGCACTTACACTGCTAAAAATGTCATAGCCTCTCAATGGTATCCATTTGAGGGGATGGAGAAGCACCGTGTTGGCCTGCAACACGTCTGCAGAGTGTGTATTCATTGCTTTTACCTTTTCTGCATGACATGCATTTTTGAAAAGGAGATAGTGAATTTTCTGTTAGTTAATAGAAATTAAATGTAGGAAATCACCTCCTAAACCTTTTGTCCACATACATATTACACACACAGTTTGCTAAAAGAACATTTATTAAGATTGCGAAGTCAGGAAATGCCAAAATTAAAGTTGCCTAAGTCAGCCACCTTGTGCATATACATTAGGTTACAGTCTTTAAATTACATTGTCACATAGCGTTTTTTCCACAGGATCCCTGCCTCATTCAGTGCACAGGGTAGGCCTGCTCTGGGCGTGAATCAGGGTTGTCGTTAGTAAGGGAGGCTGTTTTTTTCAAGGACTGCTGTGCTTCATTTCTTGGAGAAATTGGCAGTTGTATAATGAGTAAGGCAGGGACTGCAGGCAGAAAGAGGAGAGTCTCATGGCTGAAGCAGGTGAATGCTGCCCTAGAGAATTGCATTCTATCCCTGCCTGTGCCACGGAGTTTCCTTGTGAGTTCCCATGTAGTGCTGGGCAAGTCACTTAAACCAAACTGTTCCCAGGTGCTTTGAACATAAAAAGTGCTATATATAATGCTGAGTACTCCGAAAAATCCAGTCCTGTGTCTCAAACTGGGCACCAAAAATAGTGGAAACTTTTGACTTTGAATTTTCTGTGCTTCAGTCCCCCATCTGTAAATCTCCTGCCTGCACTTCATAGGGGTTGTGAAGAGAAATTAATGTTTGTGAAGAGCTCAGTATAGTGATGAGCACCATAGAAAAACCCTTAAGGAAGTTAACAACTCTGTCTTCAGAGTGGGGTTTGAATAATGCTCAATAAGTAAGACCTAGGGCTACACCAGACTATACCATGTGATAGTACTGAGCATGCTACTGTGGGGGGAAGAAACTTGGCCGATGACAGTGGCTAGCAAAAAGAGACTGGAGTCTGTCCATCACAGGTGGCTGAGGAAGATACATAGGGTTACTGGAAAGACAAAATGTAACACACATGAGAGTAAACGAGCTGACAGAGCAGGATGTGTTAGGAAATACCACCAAAGGAAGACTGGTTGGGATATGTCCTCCATCTAGTGAACACGCGAAGCAAGCCCAGAACTGGTTACCTG